GGATGATTCGGAGGGAGAGCTATTTTGAAGATTTCAAGTGATCTTTCGTACGATGAAAGTGCTTTCGAGTACTCGCCCATGTTATCATACACCATAGCGATGTTGTTGTAGGAAGTAGCCAAGGAGGGATGATTTGGAGAGAGAGCTATTTTGGAGATTTCAAGTGATCTTTCGTACAATGAAAGTGCTTTCGAGTACTCGCCCATGTGAGAATATACCATACCGATTTTGTGGTAGGAAGTAGCTAAGGAGGGATGATTCGGAGGGAGAGCTATTTTTCGGATTTCAAGTGATCTTTCGTACGATGAAAGTGCTTTGGAGTACTCGCCCATGTTATCATACACCATACCGATGCCGTTGTAGGAAGTAGCCAAGTCGGGATGATTCGGAGGGAGAGCTATTTTTCGGATTTCAAGTGATCTTTCGTACAGTGAAAGTGCTTTCGAGTACTCGCCCATGTTATCATACACTATACCGATGTTGTTGTAGGAAGTAGCCAAGGAGGGATGATTTGGAGGGCGAGCTATTTTAAGGATTTCAAGTGATCTTTCAAGCGATGAAAGTGCTTTGGAGTACTCGTCCATGTTATCATACACCATACCGATGTTGTTGTAGGAAGTAGCCAAGTCGGGATGATTCGGAGGGAGAGCTATTTTTCGGATTTCAAGTGATCTTTCGTACGATGAAAGTGCTTTCGAGTACTCGCCCATGTTATCATACACCCCTCCGATGTTGTTGTAGGAAGTAGCCAAGTCGGGATGATTCGGAGGGAGAGCTATTTTGAGGATTTCGAGTGATCTTTCTAGCGATGAAAGTGCTTTCGAGTACTCGCCTATGTTGTAATACACTGAAGCGATGTTGTTGTAGGAAGTAGCCAAGTCGGGATGATTCGGAGGGAGAGCTATTTTGAGGATTTCAAGTGATCTTCCGTACGATGAAAGTGCTTTCGAGTACTCGCCCATGTTATCATACACTGAAGCGATGTTGTTGTAGGAAGTAGCCAAGGAGGGATGATTCGGAGGGAGAGCTATTTTGAAGATTTCAAGTGATCTTTCGCACGATGAAAGTGCTTTTGGATAGTTGCCTCGTTGGTCGTCGATTGCTCCTTGGCTATTCAGGGCATTCGCTCGCTCTTTGTTCGTGGAAGATGTGGCTAGTAGGTGATCACAAATTTCCTGGGCTGTTTGGTAGTGGTGAAGCGTGAACATCAAGTGAACCATGCGATTCCAGCCATTTCCTTCGTTTTTCTGCCGTATAGAGTGTGTGAGAAGAGATAGTTGTGGATCATTGTCGTTGGTGAGAATGAGTTGTACTTCATACAGGTTGGAATTGTTGAGGATCTGTTTGATTTCTTTGACACGAAAAATCGTGTGCATAGAAAAGAGGATTTCTTCTTCGTCCTGAAACGAACCCATTGTTTGGATGTTGGCGAAGGGATTTCTTGAAATTGAAGGTGTGATACTCATTATGAAAAGTATACCGACTAAGTTAGCGTCTGATGTGTTACTTTCGGCGAATGCTAGGGAAACGTCTTGATCTCGGCTGGTGGATAAAAAGTTGTTAAATGAGAGAAGACCACCCTTGGTTCTTTTAAGTTTCTGAAAATCAGCTTTGGATAATCCTTGTCCTCGGTATACGGTAAAAGGTTCATTGTCTGTTTTTGTAGACTGTTCTTTGTGTAATTGTTCGAGTTGGCAGTGAAGATCTCGAATAAAAAAACTCATTTTCTTCATTGTTAGAGTATCCAATGTTCGAAGTGACCGATTAACCGCCTGGTAGATGAAAGAGTCACGAATATACCAGGAAATTGACGTCTCGGGACTGTAATTCTTCTCGAACTCGTTGATATTATCTAACGTTGTCTTATTGTTGTTAGATTTTTCCCGCCAAAATTGAATAAAATCTGTGATTTCTTCTTGTGTGTGATTGACTTCAAGTGTAATTTCTTTAAATAGCTGTGTGTACATAAAGGAGGG